ACACATGTGATCACACTTCGACTTTGTTTTGGGGAAATCAGCAGGAAACATTGGCAATTGTGATCACATAAAAGCGGGACCACAACAGCTGGAACTCTAAGGATACTTCATAAGTCTCCCTTGTTCATTGCCATCACAAGTTTGAATGGCTGCTGAATGACTTATTATAACCTGAGGACCATATGCATCATTAAATCCATAAGAATAACAGCAACAACTCATTAACGATCTTCATATCTAAGAATCCAATTTCTATCAAAAGACAGACTGTTGTAGACTTCAAAACTTATTCTTAAAATGTATGTAATATTTAGTAATGCACTTACTAAAACATTAGTCATAATTTAATTTTACAGGAAATGTCAGAGTTCCAGTAAAAGTAACAGAAATCACATCATAGTAAACATTTAATAGTCAAAGACAATCTTTCTCAGAGACAAAATAAGGGGTTTTTTTGTTTGTTTGTTTTTTGCTTAAACAGGAGAGGCTCCTGCACTCTTGAATTCTGCTTCTTCTTTTTTCTAGGCCTACCTATTTTAAATTCCTCCTTTCTATAATGTCAAAAAGATATAAAAGACTGGCAAAACATAGCTATAGGCTTGTAGAAATTGAGGAAAGAGGAAAACAGAGAATTGCCTCCCATTCTTTCTCATTCTAATATAACAATAGATCATATGATATACTGAATATATGAATACACATAGCATATTAATATTAATTTTAAAAAGCCCAAAAAATCCCTAAGCAATAACTAAGGCCATTTCACTATCTTGGCATATGATTTAGACACCCCTACCACTTCTCGGTTCCTAGGCATGAATATCTGCAAAGGTTTACACATGAGCAATTTATCTTCTGTAGAATCCACCAAAGCATGGTAGGCCAGAGATGATTATGGATTCAGGTCTATGAAACTGCTGCCTGTTTATTGTATGGAGTTCCATTACATCTGATTTATGCATAAAGTAAATACAATAGCAGAGTTGGAAGGGACCTTGGAGATCTTCTAGTCCAACCCCCTGCCTAGGCAGGAAACCCTATACTGTTCCAGACAAATGGAAGGTCTTAAAGACTTCCAGTATTGAGGCATTCACAACTTCTGGAGGCAAGCTGTTCCACTGATTAATTGTTCTGTCAGGAAATTTCTCCTCAGTTCTAAGTTGCTTCTCTCCTTGATTGGTTTCCACCCATTACTTCTTGTTCTACCCTCANACACAACCAATCATTCCACTTACTGAAACAAAGCCAGCACTCTCCACACACACACCAAGATTTATAGAAAGACAGCAGCTCCGACCACGCTTTAAGCCCAAAATGCAGCCTGAAGATGGCGAGTGAGACCTCGCCGAAACGTTGCCAAGACAATCTCAATCTTGCATGGGAAAAGATATATATCTTGATGTATATATACATCCATGATGGCACGCAGAGCCCTCTCTGTGGGCACATGCACCATCGCCAGCTGCTCTTCTGGTTTCTAGAATGCACATATGTGCCAACCAGCTGGTCTTTGTGGGCGCCGGAACTGCAGAAAATGGCCTGAAAACAGCCCCTCAAATGGCCATAAAACAGACCATTTTCTGGCCATTTTCCGGGCCTAAATGGCCTAAAAACGCCCAAAAAACAGCCATGCGCATGCTGAAAATCTGAAGATCAGCTGGCTGGCCAGATGGTCCTTGGATTTCTGGCATTCCGGCGCATGCATGCACGTTCTGGTTTGGGCACTCGGTGCCGAAAAGGTTTGCCATCACTGATATATAATTTTATTGAGGTTTCCAACTATAAATTGACTGAGAGATGTCCAGTCAGATAGAAGGGAAAAACAAACATTATATAATAACATCATATGAATAACAATTTCCTGAGGCTTCTGATCCTTCCCACACATTTCAATATTTTAGGGGACACAAACTACACAGAATGTAGGACTAATGGAGGACTGAGAGGCACAGAATGAGGAAGGCCATATGTGGTTGGAATTTTTTTTAGAAAGTTTTTTTTTGTTTGTTTTTTTGCTGTAATTGCAATACAATATTTTAGGGTTAATTATATTTTTCATGTTTTCACCACAAAATGACAGGAAACTGTCTTCAAAAATCATCCCAAAAAGTTTAAAATGGTACAGAAAAAAAAACCCAAGGAGTAAAAAAGATTACTGACCTGTGGATCACAGAAAACATACAATTCTCTATCATTAATATGTACCTAGTTGTTCAAAACTGCTAGGCTTTCTAACATAACCAAATAAATAAATTTAAAAAAACTGAAATAAAAAGTTGAGTGGAATTGAAGTATAAGGAACACAAATTTCAAGCTTTGCCATGACACTCCTAAAAATAAATAATCAGCCCAATTAAAAGACCATCATACTGATGCTGGCATACTGCAGATTATCCGTAAAATGAAAGTGTTTGCCTTTCAGGAGAAACTTGAGATGGGGGAAAGAGTCAAGACACTACTGAAGAAAACAGAACTAGATATCTCAACTCCTAGAGGAAAACACCTGGATTCCATAGTAATTGCCCTCTGCAGCCCATATTGCTGAACTTGTAGAACAAGGAAGGTGAACTATAGCTCTTTTACAATCTGTGAACTGGCTGGCTCAGGAATTCTGGGAGTTGAAGTTCACAGATCATAAAAGGGCCTTAGTTCCCTATCCCTGGTTTAGAACATACAGCTGTCTGTTCCAGGGCACGGATAATTCAGATAAAGAATTTAATTAACAAGATAGACAGACAGACAGACAGACAGACAGACAGACAGACAGACAGACAGACAGAC